GATGCTGCAGGTACTGGGCCTGGTATTCGTATTTGGGGACTATACTGACTATATACTACTCATTAACGCTATCTCTTCTCCTCGTCAACGAAACTCAGCTCGCGGTCCAAGAATAGCTTTGACCTTGTGGGGCTGAGCGAATGCTATGTCATCAGAGTCCTGAGAACAGTGCTGTGTCGAAGGACAAGGACCTTGTTCATAGGTTCACACTGCCCTGAGAGTCAAAGACTATAAAAATAATGGTCTTTAGGTGACACGAAAAGGAATCTCCTTTACTTCAGTCGGTCAAAATATAGTCTTTGGACTTCCAGGGACTGTCCAACCACGTGTGATTGTGATCAGTGTACTTGTGATTGATCGAAACATATCGAAACCATGAACTGTACACTTCCGTGGGGTTGAGCAATCTTAGGACCCCCCATTGGCTCCCAAGACAACTTCCACCCAAGCTGGTCAATCTTTTGCCATGCAGTTCTTTGCAGGACAATCGCGGGGGTGGAGGCTGACAGTGCTCCGACGAACCAAGGGTCTGAGCATGTCCTCCATGAGAAATACTGGAGGGCAAATCTGAGCAGCACAAACAGCCATCAGGGAAACGTGTCCTGGATCTCGAATTCGTTGCATTAAACCAGACGACGGGCTCTGGCACATGGTCACCTTCTGTTGCTTTGCCAGAAGAAACGCCATTGTTTCAGCCCGGAAGCGCTCGATAGGCTGTGGGACAGAGCCCGACTGGACACATCAAGAGTCATTACAACAATTCTTGGCCAAGCGAAAAGAACTGTTGGCACCTCGATGGAGTAGCTAGGTGAGTGGATAGATACCCTGACAATCTGGTGGCATTCCGCCTATACAACCATTCCCCCAATCTTGGCCGGCCCGGCGTCTCTGCTGCGTCTACTGAAGAACCCAAGGGAGAACGCCTACAAAATACTCCCAAGACCACACCTGCTTGATCCAGCATCCAATAGACTTCTAAGATCCAACTAGAATTGAAGAGAACCTTCAGTGTGGCACAATCCCCTCCCAAATCAGCAGGTGAAATATCCTCAAGTCATGCTCCTTATTGATGAAATCCTCAGGGCACATCCGTCCCTCGAACCTTCGTTCAGCGCCTTTGGCTTCACTCGATCGCCACATCTCGTCTCCGCAGGTGGGGACGAGGTGAGGGCTCCTGTAGACGAGGTGCGCAGGACTCAAAGGTCTCCAAGAAACGAGGAGAGGGAAGAAGATCTTTCAGAGTCAGATCTTCCATTCATGTTCATTCAAATCCGATCAAATGGGTTAGAACTGGTTAGACAGGACACATGTCTTTTCATGGGAGGTCTTGAGTCTTCACCCCACACATGTTGAGGCTTGGGTTCTGTGGTGTCAGTTGTCTCCATCGTCTCATGCAGACCCATGCACCCATTCTCGTGCTTCACCAGTTCATTCCTGTTCGAACAGTTCGTAGCTCACCCCAGTCAATCCTCGGAAGCCGACCATCAACCAATTCCAGCCAAGCAGTCAACCCCACCCAAGACCCCAATCAGAGTCCAAACAAAGTCCCAACCCCAACCCTCATGGTCTCACCAAAGCAAGCAGTCGCCTCCCACCCTCCCGCCTAGCGAAGAAGCGAGAAGGGGTTGCTGCTGGGGGAGCCTGGGAACGTAGAGGAGCAGAAGGGATCGAACAGGGCTAGCTCCTTCTGGATTCTCCAGAAGTGGAACCCCACAAATCGTTGAACTTCACGTTTTGCAACCGGAAGTGGATGGCATGGCTTTAACCCATCCAAGGGGAATCCGTCAGCGGTTGTTCCACTTGCTTGCGGCACTTAGCAGCACTAAACGGTAAAATCATAACGACTGCTAAAGATAGGACCACAATCCAGATGACCCTGCAAGAAGATATTGGACCCCGCAATGCTTGCCAGGCAAAACGAAGGTGTGTTCGGGGGAAGCCAAAAGGATCCCAACCGTGGAACCGTTTCGCCATCTCCCATCCCGCCGTGGAGGCATTTCGTCGTTCGTGGCGAAACGGCCAGACCGTCTGGAGGCCTGAACCACAGAACAGGTCGGAGGGATTAGGAGGTTCATGGAGGTTCACAGGTTTAGACCAACCCAAGTCTTCTGAATCCTGGAAACCCTGCTGGAGCCCCGTGCCCAGCAACTCACTCTGCAAGGAGGCGGGATACGGAGACCTCGGATGCCAAGGCACGAGCGCCGGTGCCCAGTTGCGTCTGGCAGGGGGAGTGTGAGGGGAAGCAATGACAAAAGTTGTGAGTGGCCAACTGGCCAATAGCGTCTGCTATGTAGGAACTGCCAAGGGTCCAGTTTTGGGTTGCCCCTCCACTGGTCCCCCTCAACAACCTTAGAATTCTGAGAAGATGGCTGGACACCTTCAATTGCTCGCAAAACGTTGACCCCTCACAAACTGACCCAAGAAAACTATCTGTAAAGATTAGCTCATTCCCTCCTCACCTGGACCTATTCCGTTTCCAGCAAGACAAGACTGACCTATTGAGAGTGTAATTCTCGAGTAGATGGCGCTATGTGGTTCAAAAAAGGACCCCCAAGAAGGCGCACGTCCAACCTCTTCGGGTACCAGTGCCATCCACATCCGAAGCCACCGGCAGCCACCACGTGAAGCCATCTGCCCGCGAAGGCACGGTGGCGAGGCGACGGACACCGCGGCGACCGGCTCCATGACGTAGGGCACCACCTCGCTCGCGCGACACCGTGTCGCGGAAAGGAGGGGAGGATGGGGGTTCCCTGGGAGGAGTGGCTTTCGCTTGTGCTCCAGTGCTCCATTTTGTGGGGGGGGCCCAAGAAGAGTCTCGAGCTTCAACTACACCGATCCCAATGGGCTGGTGCCAAGAAGAAGAATCGTCCTTGTACCGTCCGGCCGGGCACCCATTGGGTCCCTCCGATTTCTTCCACCCGCCCATCGACCCACTGGAAGGGCCGATGGCCTCCACTGGAAGTGCCACCGTCCTGCGCGAAACGCGACAAGGGTGTTGAAATATGTGTTTATATCCTTTCAATATGTCTGATTGTCATCCAAACCAATGGATAGAAAGTTGGGGTGTCGGGCATTTGAAACATGCACGCTTTATTCTATATGGGTTCGTATTCAGTGATCATATGTTCTACATGCTCATGACTCATGCATGTGCTTTTCACACAACCACAAGATTTGCGGATGTTCAGATTGCTTCGACAGTAGAACTGGGCTTCTTCTCCGTGGTTTCTGGTTGGTTTGAACCCATAACAAAGGCCTTCAACGTAGGTCGCACCTCGTGGTCGCCGGCACCACGGGCGCCGCCACGGGCGCCGCCACGGGCGCCGCCACGGGCACGGGGCCCGGCAGCGACACCGCCGGGCTCGTCCAGGCGGACGTGGTGGGTGCGGAGGCCTCCAGTGTTGAGAACGGCGTAGTGCGCGCGACATGAGGTCTGAACGAACAGTTCGCCAAAAAAAAAAGAAGAAACGGAGTCTGTAGGCGGGGGGTTCTTCTTTTGATCTACAGACTCCCACCGCGCGGCTGAGCCACGCACCACGTCGCGGATCTCTCGCTCCAGGCGCTGGAACGCCTGTTGGTCAAAAGGGAGAGGGGTCGAGGTGAGCCTCCCAAGTACATGGAAGTCTGTAGAAGACCCCAGGGCCCCAGGGTCTGTACAACCCCTGTAGTTGGGGAGGTTGGAGAGAAATCTGTAGAAGACCCGCGGGGGGAGGTACAAAGTTCTCTTTCCAACGTCTAAGTGGTTTGAAGGGAGTGTCTGGAGCAAAGCCACCCAAGAGTGAGCCCTGCCTAGGTTTCAGGAAGACACTCCTTGATCATGACTGCGAACGCCTTCATTTGCCACCTGGTTTCATGTGTCTATTTCTTATTGTACGTATATACACAGATCTGTTTATGGTGGAATGCACCTGTCGCAAACCGTGCACCAAATCCTCCCGATTCTGAGAGCCACACCTGCGTTCGTGTCTGCACCTCCTGCTTGAACTCCTGGCACTTCAAGATGGTCAGAGCAAAACAACATGTGCCAAAGTTCCAGCGCACTACAACCTCTCTAATAACTCCATCTGAAGCTTGGTGGTGTGCAAACCTGTGCTGTCTGGCGTCTTTCATCAGGCATCCCAGCATGTTCCCAGCATTTCTCCGAGTGCTGCAGCATGCTGCAGCCAGGCCATGCTGAGCCCTCTCTCCCACTGTGCCCCCACCACGGCCCTCCTCCTGCAAACTCCGGTGATGCTCCAAGCGGGCCCGAACCTGCCGGCTCGATGAATGCGGGATCGCTTCGGGGGCGGTGCTTCGGTCGTTGGAGACCCGAAGTCCCCTTTCCTCGTCGAGGACTCGTCGAAGACTCTCCAGTTCTTGAGACGTTCTGAACATGGTCCAGCTGTTACCCGCAGGTCTCTGATCCGTGGGTCAGTGTATGGTGAGTGAATCGGGCTAAGTCCGGTGGACCACACGGCCTCCCGCTGGATGGCTTCGCAGCATTCCTGACGCAGGTGCAGCTGGGAACAAATACAGGCGCCCAAGAGATGCCGGATTCCTGTTCACCTCATCTCCCCTCGCCCCAGATCACCAAGGTCGCCAAGGCTTTCTGATCTTCGTTTCAGACCCAGGAAGACCCGACATGGCCAAGCCGCACCTCTCGCAGTTGCTGCACCGACATGGCCATCCTCTCGCAGTCTTGCTGCAGCTTGGCGCCCAAGACCTGTGCAGCTTGAAACCAAGCGAGGTGCAGAAACGGCAGGAAAAAGGAAGGTTCTTGGAGACCAGCCTCGGCTTGGGTTTGGATTTGATGGATTTGATTGGTTGTAGCATATCTGAAGGGGTGGATGAAAAATGATCAAAGCACAAGCCGAACAAACTACACCCTTGTCACTTGTCACACACCGTTTAAGAAGATTCCAGTTCTTCTCTCCTGTGGTGTCGAACACAGGCCACATTTAGCGATGATAGTTTTTGGCAACGTTTTGAGCGACGTGACAAGCTCAAATCGACTACGATTCCGGCTCGGATTGGTCGAGCACGACCTTTCTCCTCCTGCATGCACCACAAAATCAATGCAGCTTGATCTTATTCTAAGTCTAGGAGTTGCTGAGGTACATCCCGGTTTTTGAACCTGTGGGCAGTGGCGTCTTCGCAGCCGACTGCACCGCGTTCCAGGCATGAGCATAGACGGTATTGCGGAAAGGCGCAACTTTCACATCGCACTCGAGGACACCCTTTTCTTTGCGCTTCAATGTCACGCACGTGTACGGTGGAAGGAGCACCTCTTTCTGCTGTGGTTGCAAGCTCACATCTGCTATGCTGCGCCCGTATCCTGGTGGCAAATTGAGCTTCACCATGTAGGGATCTGCGAACTCTTTTGCCACCTCCTCACTTTCTGAGGTTGACAAGTAAGACGGCACATGGAAGGAGCTTCCTGGCTCTAGGTCCTCAAGCACATCGGGCTGCACATGGCTGCCCCGATGGGTCACACGAGGAATTCGCTCTGCCTTGGAAAAGATGTAGCAGTTGATTGCCCTGATGAGCGGCATGAAGTCCTGCAGCTCTTCGTAGCAATCCTCGCGCAAAGCAGCAGCCAGCTCTTCGTAAATATAATCCGAAGTGTATAGACATACGGCCTTGGCTGCCACGCCCAGTTTCTGTGCTTTCAGCATGCCCGGATGACTCCCGTTCTCCTCCTCAAGCTGCTTCAACGTGATCAGTCCAAGGTTCTCCAACCCCTCATCCACCTCCTCCTGAGAGGGTGGTTCCCGATCATTCAAATAGCGCAAATAGAGATTGAGAAAGTTTGAGTCCTCGTACCTCACCGTCTCAGTCTCAGTGCTGATCATGCCAAAGCCCGGAAGATCCTGAAGCCGTTCCCGACAGATCACACTGCTTCGATGTCGAGCTTGGGAGAGGTAGGAGGCCCTCAGTGAAAGCCCTGGCGGAGCTGAAACAAAGGGAGTGGCCAACTTGACCGAGAAAAGCACCAGGATGAAGCCCAGGCAAAGTCGCTGCCTGCGCCAAGTTGCCATGGCGAAATTCTACCGTTCACAACTGGATCCAAGGCTACAGCCAACTGAGGTGGATGTTCGGACCAGCAGGAGGCTTCGGCATGAAGGCGAGGCATACCTAGACCCCGTATACGGGGTGTCCATGAATAAGGATGAATCAGACTTTCAGTTTCCAGGCACTTCAAGGGTCTCTGTTGACCACCCCATCGGTCCTGGCATGTATAGCTTGCTTACTTCACAGGACCAATCCGCTCTTTCGTGGTTCACCCTCTCCATCGCACCACGCGTGCCACGCTTCGAAGTAGAGAACATCATGGTGGGTTCACCCAAACAATCCATGGGACTGCCATATTTGCCGATCAGGCCAGGGGTGCTTTGGGGGGTCAATGGGGCGGCATATATCCCAGTCCCATGGAGTTTCCGGGGTAGGACATGCTCCCCAAACAATCGTCCGCCCAGAAGGTCCTTCGCCCGAATCCCAACGAGCGGTGAAAAGGAAGAAAACTCTGTCCCATCGCGCAGGTTGCACACCCAGCACTCACCTCGCCTCCACTTCTGCTTGGAGGTTCCCTGACTCACCCGGCTCCTGCGTGTCGGAGAGCGACTATGGGAGAGAGAAAACAACTCCGCGCGGATCGAGGGGTGCCTATTGGAGGAAGGGGTACCCATTATCCACTCACTTAGGAACTAAAAACCACTCCTTTCTGAGACCCCTTCACTTGTGATTTTGAATTTCTGACATGGCGTCCAGGGCCTCGTAACAAACCGTCCGGGAGACCCAACCCGCGGGGCCTGAGCTCGTTCTCTCGCACGCCCATTGCGAACTTCCTTGAGAACTGATCCTCGGCCAAGGGGGAGAGCATTCACGCCTTCGAGGTCAACGACAAATGACCAGCCCTCAAAAGAAACCAAAAACCTCCAAATCCGCTTTGGATACACTCAAAAGATCTCAAAAGGCTCCTCCTTGGACTTAGGACTTGGGAACCTCTCTAGTCTTGAAGAAGCAGCTGTTTTTGTCCAAGCTTTAATCTTGTGACTCGTGTACTACAAAAACGGGTGGTTCTCTTTCAAGTTCTCATGGCCACCCTTCGCCCTTAGCACCTGGCCTAATCGCTGCTCCCAAGAGTCCTGGCAAAAAAACAGCATGACGAGCGAATGGCAAAGCAATCCTTGAAGGGTTGGGCTGGCAAATACCTCCACAACTTGAGCGTTCAATTCTTTTGATGAAAACAAACAAAAACCATGCACCTGGGTGATTCCTTCTCACAAAATCACCTGGCCCTGCCCCTGCTTGACGTATGCCAGCTGTGGTGGACCGGAATCACGACTCCTCCACGGCTTGCAATCGCTCTTCCATGGACGATTGCAGTCGCTCCAGTCGCATGGACAGCCTTGGCTGTCGCATGGAGGGCGGGCTGTCAGACACGTGACGTGCGGTCGCAGCGGGGACTCGTGGCGGGGACCTTCAGGAGGGAGGTTTTTGATTTGGGAAGAAGTCCCACAGTGGAGCGTGCTTAATTCTATTCAATCAAGCGGAGGCATGTGTTTCTCGGCCGAGAAACGTCTGCTTCAGCTCCAGCCGGAGTTCGGCCAACCTCACGACTCACAAAGCAGCTGAAAGCGATGAGAATCCCGGGCATGCACAAGTAGACTAAGTAGATCACCTTGCACATGCTGAGTAGCCATGAGTTGCCATCTTGAGTGGCCAGCAGTGCATCAAACTTCAAGCTGCAGGGATTGGATGGTCACTCATAGATGACAGAAAGACCAGACCCCTCCAACTGCATGGAGCCCCGGCTGCTCAGCCAGCAGATTCGTGAGTGGCCTGACTCAGCAAGTCGGACGGTTCGATCCCGGGTTCGACCCCTGCTGGACGTCCGCCGAAACTGCTGGACGTCGTCCGAAACGTCCAAACCCGAAGATGAAAATGCCATCCTGAAGTCACAAGTCCCTTCTCAGTACTGACTCTGAACGTGTTGCACCTATTTTCGATTGGCCACTCTGTAGACGACCAAATGGGTGGCTGGCTGGAGCCAGTGGCAAAAGAGGCATAGAATGGCATAGATGTCCAGGCCACAAGGAAACTGGGTGAACCTTCGGCCCCAAAGACCATAGACACGGATCGGCATGGCTTACAAGAAAAAGAGGAGATTCCAGGAGATTCCAGGAGCCATGGTCGGGGTAGGTTCGTGGACACCCCTTCTCACCCCCAAAAAGCGGGTAGTTCATCACCCCACACTACCGGCCAGGCGGTCGAACGCCTCCCTTCGACCGGTGCGCCTCGACCCGTTGGGCATCACCGCGCCGCCCAGGCCGGTCACCGCGCCAGCTCCGACGGCCGACGCCACGCGCGTCGTCCTGAGCTGCTTTCTCATGACCAGTGGCTGGTGAAATAGCGGGTCTTTTGGGGGGGTAAGTTTCTTGTGGTCAAAAAAGAGACGATCCAAAAGAAAAACGCCCAGGTCGGTGGCTCCTTTTATAGGGTTGGGAGGATTTCAGACTTCTCCGTCGACCAATTCGGTTTCCCTGAGAAAAAAGGGACACCGAACTTAGCAGCTGGCGATACGGCGATTATGAAGGTCTGGGACATGAAAGCTTCGCAGGTGAAGTTGTGATGAGTTCTTCTATGTTGGGACGTTCGCCCCGAACCCCGGTGACTTCCCGGACACATCTATACATGCCAAAGGAAAAGCCCCTAGCCTTATCCTAACATTGGTGCCATCATCGTGGGTGATCACAAGTCTTCTCCAAGATTGCAAAACCAACCATCTCACCACCTTTTCGGCCATGAGCCTGAGATGTGTCCAACAAAAAACTTTAAGTCGAAGGACTCAGCAGCCCTGGTCTCGACCCTGTCCACACCCTTCGACCCTGTCGGGAAGTCGCATTCGACTCATCTCCAAGTGGAGCTGACGCCATCGACGCCAGCATGGCTGGGCGTCCCCTGCTCCAGGTGTTGGTTCACCAAGCCCCACTGCAGGTTCCGGAGCTGCCGTACCTGCAGGACCATCCGGCCACTGAACTTACTCTACTCGCAAGGGAAAAAAGATCTGCTCAGGAAAGCAAAAGATGTGAAAAGGATATCCGAATCACTTGTATTGATAGTTGCAACACAAACACATTTAACAACAAAGCTGAAAACACTCGAGTGTGTACCAAGACCTTTATCAGTTCAAAATGGTATAACTAAACACTTTCTCACCAATCACCATTCAAACCTCCGAGCTTCTTCGCCCCCACCCGGCCGAAGAGAAAACAAAACACTCGCCGCCAAACCCCCGTCCCCCGGATGTCCCCGTCCCGCCGCACGCGGCGGCTCAGCTCTTGCATCGCAGAGTCACTCATGTGTGCCACCTGGGCAATGCGAGACCGCACGAGAAGAGCCCCGGTTTCGACGGCACGGGAAGAACCAGGGCACGGGAGGAAGAGACCCCTAGTGAGAAGACGAGAGTGGTGAAACATGGAGAAGGCTTGGAAGAAGGAAACAGAAGTCTATGATCCGCAGTTTTGGGTTTTGGGTATTCATACCCCGGCAAAAGATTCGAGTAGTGAACATCCTTCCCAACCTCCGCTTGATCAGGTTCTCCAACAAACGAATTGCGGCAGGTCAAGACTCCCAGAGCCCTGACTCCTCCGCACAGATCTACCCCAAGTCTGCTCACTTGGACTAGATACCCCTGGTGCTTTGGTCGCTCAACCTGCCCAAGGGTGGGAGTTTCTTCCGGCCAAGCTCCGGAGCTCCGCATGTCTCGCCTTTTCTTTCGGCACCTCTCGCGGCCGTCTCGGTGGGCGGTCACGCTCGGTGGCCAGCAGCCTCTGCAGGGTCACCTAGCTCGCGTGGCACCGTCGTTGGCCGAATCGGTCCAGTCCCGCGTGGTGTGAAGAATCAGAAGTCCCCCCAGCAGGAAAAAAAAAGAAATGTCCCAGCCGTGACGGCTGATTCCAAAAAATATTTAAGAAAAGCAGCTTTCTTTCTGCTGCAAAAAAGAGACCAGCGACCTGGAAAAAATAGACACTTGAGTCACCAGCGATGGATCTTTCCTGGCATTTGTTTGGGAGGGTGAACCCGCATCCAGAGTCTCGGCGGCCAGATTTTAGCCCTCCGCCTGGAGGTCGGATAGGAGTTCTTCGGTGGCATCCGCGGCGACGTCGCCAGCCGCGGCGCAGCATTGGCGTCCGCCGGCGGGAGACCCTGAAACACACGGAAGAGACGGTCCAGTGTCCTCCCCTGAAATCACCAAATCCGACATGGGATGACACAGCAACAAATATCATCTATGGAACTCTTCAGAAAGGAAAAGGAAAAACACCTCTTTGCAGAGTGTCCTTGTTTTGGCATTCTTGCTTCTCCCCCTTTGAACGATCTGTCAGGAAAACCAAGAGACCACCCGACGGTCAAAAAAGAAAGAAACAAAACACTTCGTCTGCCTCTTGGCGGCGCACACGCCGCAGGCGCTTCCCCAGCTTGTTCTTGGCCACGCTCAAGGTCCAACGAGCCTCCGACAAAGGCACCTGCACCTGACGACGGCCCGGCACGGCGGTCGGATGAAGAAAAGAGGCGATGGATGATGGAATGCAGAAACAGGTATGGACGATGAATCTGTCCATCTATGGATTTCACACATGGGGTCCTTTTGGAAGTCCTTCCAATTTCTGAGTCTTAAACTCACCTCTCTTGTGAGAGTGTTCAGAAGATTCTCCAGACAAAAGCTCCGGTGCTCTTTTTGGATGAAGTCTATCTCAAAGGAACTTCACTCGCAGTAAATATCTTTGGAAACCTGTTCATTCGCCTGCTGGACAAGCAGGACGTGGCCAGTTGCTATTGGCTCCCCTTGGCTTGAAGACTTCTATGATATCACGAAAATTAAGTTTCTCCAGGACTTTAGGAAGCTGCCATCACCCAGAACTTCCAGAATGGTTTTGGGTCATCACACTGGGATCATGCCAAAGGTAAAGGCAGTGGTGCTTTAAAAGCTACCAACCACCACCCAGTTTGAATTGCCAAAGCCCAAGTGGCATTGCAGTGGTCGCAGCAAAGCTCGTTGCCTTCAATCTCCACTCCTGCCTCAGCCAGATCCGCTAAGACCTCAGGGCAGATCGCCAGCATGTTCACAGAAGACTTGGCGCAAGTGAATTAGGGGAGAAGAGTCCAATGGTTCCCTTCACCATGCTTGTCCTCTTTCTATATAATTGCTTCATGTTCCACAGCTCAAACCCCACAACCCCACACCCGCCCCAGTACTCCCTCTGTCTGTCACCTCTGTCACCCCATCGTGCCTGGCGTCCAACGGGGTTGGAACCCCGCGTCAGCTCGTCGCCCACCTGCGCGTGGAGACACTTCACGTCGACCAGGTCCTCGCAGCCGTAAACCGCAGCGCCGGACGCAAGGTGAGCTGGAGCGATTGTGGTGAGTTGGATGTGTTTCACCCCCGGTTACGCCCAAATTGGTGGAACGACCAGGCAAGTGGGCCAAAGGCCAGGTTGGCGAGCTTGGTGAGGTTTGCCCGTGTTTTGCTGCTTTGGGGGTAACCTCTTCAAGCGTTGATAGAAATCGCTCCGACCAGGGATGAAGGCAACATGGGTCTCGAACAACAGATGGAGATCATGTAGTCCAGTGCTGGTGCCGCAGTGGTGCCAACACCCGCATCTAGCAAATGTTGGTCAAAAAAAGACACATATAGTCCATCGTCCAACCATTCCCCCCCGCCAAGATGCCCTATCAAGTGAGATCAGACTTGGGAGCTAGCATTAGACTCTTGATAAAACATAGCTCCCCCAACATATAAGAGGATGTCCAATTCAAATGGGGGGTATGTTTTACTAATCAAGAGTCTACACTCAAATCATCCTGATTCGATTCCTGGTCGAACTTCATCCCGCAAAGCCCAGTCTGTAGGATCAGCTCCACCAGCTGAGTGCCCATCCGCGCACGGACCTTCGCCATCTCCTGGCCCAGACTTCGGCAGTGGAAACGTCCTGTCCTCGGGCACCTTTTGGGGGCATTCAGCAAGTCTTTGCAAGCTCTTCTGAGAGGCTAATGGCAGGGGCAGCACGGGTCATGAACTGCGCACGCTTCGGACCCCGAAGAGAACCAGACACCGGACACCGGTCCATTGGTCCATGGTTGGATTGCCGAATGATCACACAGAACACAAGAAATGAAGCAAAAGCTCAGACCCTACCTCCAAGACTGTTCAATGTTCTTTGGGTGTATGGACCAGAAAACTCGCGTTTGCCTCTCCGATCCAATCCACCCGGGTCCACCCCAGTCCTCTGGCCTCTCGGACAGCAGCTGCTGGCGCAAAGCACGGTGTGCCACGTGCGCATCGCGGAGATGTGCTTTCCACTCCTCATCCTCTTGCAGCCGCGCGTTGTAGCCTACAAAAGCGCCGCCAAACCGAGACAAAGACGCGTGGAACAAGCCGTTGAGCAAGCTGCGGAACGGCCAGGGGCATCTCCGTGGCGCGAATCCCAGCAACGACTTCACGGGATGAGGGATCCATTGATCTCACAGAACTCGTGTTGGCCGGGCGGAAACTTTCAGGCAAGTACAATGTGAGCACACACTTGGCAAGGACGCTATTAGGTGGAGGCCATCGCAAACAGGTTGGAGGCCACCGCTACTAGAAACAAGAAGCTACTGGTAACCTTGGCAATTATAGCAATGGTGGGTCCACCTTTGATCACAAAGAGACGCCGTGGGAAAAGCTCCGAGTGATGCGAGGAGAGTATAGGCAACAACCCTTCTATTCGACACTTTAGCATCAAGTCTTCTCGTATCAAGTCTTGCCAAATGAACGTCCAAGCCCCAAGCCAATCTCTACAAATCTATTCACTCATGGCTCATTCCCGTTCAACAAAGGAGGAGCCATGTAGCTCATCTTCTCTTTTCAGGTGAACCTCTACATTCCCCGACCCTTCATCCACTCAGCTCATGACAACGTCCCGTGTCACCTCGCAGGGCGCCCTGCCGTTCATAGGCATCGATGGCTTCCACCAGCAGCGGACAGGTCAAACGCACCAGGTCACCCAGGCAGTGATCGGGCCAAATGGGGTCCACCACCACAGCCTCCACCGGGCTGACGGACAGTTGGAGATGGAGATGAAGGCGGACTAGTCCGCAGCGAGTCAGGTTCTGGGGGGTATTTCCGGTATAGTCCGGTGAGGAAGAAACGTCAAGGCATCAGAGTTGGCTCCAAAAATTGGGTGCCATCAAAAATTTGCTCAAGCAATATCAAGCAATAAAGAATAAAAACATTTGATCCGTCGATCTTGCCATCTTGTTGGAGCGATTTTCCACCACCCCGTGGCTCAACAAGACATGACCTGTGGCCAGCCATGCCGGCATCGGTGTCCAGCGCCCACGGCGCGACGTTGGAGGTCCTTGGTTCATGAGGAACATCTGGCCATATGACCATGTGCTTGCGGCACTCCTGCACCATCCAGGATCTCTAAAACAGTGTAACGGGGCACAAACGTATCATGGTCTCCAAATGGTCTCCCTTTATCTGGACTGGTGGCTGGTGCAAGAGTCTTTCCGTCATTGCGCAGTGTCCACCCAAATTTGGCTCCTTCCCCCTCCTATATATACCTTAATTATAAGCTGATAAATTAAAAAAGCGTAAAAAGCAGCTGGTCATGTGGCCAGGGAGCCCAAGATTGCCCCGGGCGCAGAAAGAGATGCCGCTGCTCCAGACAGTCCACATCCGCCTCCGTCACCTGGGTCCCGGTCGTCGGAACCGAGGTCAAAGGACCGGTCCACGACGCCCCAAGACTCCCCAAGAGAGCGGTAAGTTAAGGTGCTTTTGACAGGAGAGCATCGAAATCACTGGAAATCACCATGAGCATCACCCTCACTGGTGGCCCCTCTCACTGGTAGCCCTATGTGTCTTGGACTTCTGAAAGCTAACCACACTAGCATTACTAGCAAGCCCGCAAGCCGATCCTTTCAAGACAAGCCCTAGCTTTAACCCTAGCTGAGAACATCCACTTGATTCGCGTCACAGGAGTGAGCTCAGTGAGCTTCGCTAGCTCACCCTTCTTCTCCGGGACCACCAAGGCCCGCCATCGATCTCCAACGCCCAGCGCGCTCAGCGCGAGCGTGACCCAGGCCCTGAACCGGGTGCCATGGCCGAAACCAGCCATGAGCGACGGCTGCGGTGGCCACGGTGTGTACCATGTCTCTCCAAGCATCATGTGTTCAACCTTCATGGTACATCGTGGTACACATGATATCAACCAATTGTGGTTGGTACCTTCATGGTGGTCCATGCATCAAGGGCACCCTTCATCTGCCCTGGTCCCACCTTCCTACCAAACACCATTTTCAGCCTCCAACCCGGCCACCTCACCTTCACACCGGTCGACATCACCACCACCTGGGAGCCCCGGACCACCATGGCGCCGGCCTCGACGGCGTGGCCGAGGTCCGCCTCTTCCAGTTGCAAACCTTGGAACCGCCCAAGGCGCCCAACGCGGCACGTGGACGAGGGAGTGGACGAGGCAGGTTTCGGGGGAGTGAGGTGGAAAGCAAACGCTTTCTGCTGCGGTGGAAAGCGAAGTTCCCAGGTTTCTGGTGAGGTTTGAGATGGTTTGAGGAAACAGGGGGAGCCCCCTGTTGTTTGCTCCCACACTTTCAGTGGCACCTCTCCTGGTGGAGCATCCAACTCTTGAGGTTAGGATCTTGGAACATGTGGAGCTATGTGAGATGTCAATCTGAAATAGTGCGGTGCGCGCGCGAGAGAGAGAGAGAGAGAAGATCAGTGAAGTTCAGACTCCAAAAGAGCTTATTCTTCAACCGCATATATATATATATATATATATGGTCTATATCCTTTCAACTCACTGACTGATATAATGGTCTATACATATTTTCTTTATCCTTTCTAGTCGAAAATATCAGTGAGTGGAACAAAAAAGCTCCTCTCCACAGCAGGCACGAGTGCCTGCTGCCCGCCCGACTTTATGCAAAACCCCAGCAATGAGCCTTGGTCATTGCTGAAGGTGAAGGGAGGTTGAACCTGACACGTTGCGATGGGACTTGAAACTTATAGGTCTTTAACTTGGACAAATATGCTCTCGACCAGACCACGCAAAAATGAAAAGCCCAAAAATACGGGTTCAGGAGTCTGCGAACCCAGGGTGGAAGGTTCTATGCTCAAAATACTCAGAAGTGCTCCATCTTCATGCGACTGGCCACAAGCGACCCACCGCACAACCCTCACTTCACCCCAGGCCCCACCTCAAAGTGTTCCGCAACACTTTGGGAGATCGCCTGCTGGCTCCGCGCTGGTCTCGCCCAACGATCCCACACGCCGACCCGTACGCCGACCCGCACCGACTCAGTGCGGCAGCACCCTCTCAAAACCCCTTCAGCGTCCGACCGAAAGCACGTCCAAAGCAAGCCACCGAAATCACCAAAGCTGCTCCACCCTTCCCACGGATGCGACACGCGTCCAACACCACGCGTGGTGCGGTTCCGAGTCTCGACGATCCTCATGCAAGCTCTCAACCTCCTCGGGCCTCGGCGATGGTCAACGGACTTGGAGCGCTGAATGGAGCTGGAAAAGGTGAGTAACATGGGGGAAAAAAAGGAACGTGACTGTAGATCACTGTGATGTGGGCTGAAATGGACAAGCCGCATCTTCCCACATTTTGACACTCGAGTCATGTAGGTGTTTGGATCTAGTGACGGGTGCGACTAGTTTGTGATTTGAGGGTGGCTGGACTTCCTGCAATCTCTAGTGGAGAAGCAGCCAGCCTCATTCCCCCATCCGCATTCCCCACCATTCCCAGCCTCCCCGACCTTCGCTCCCCGTCGTTTCGTCCGGCCGAGCTGCAGTGGCACCCGCTGGCGCCGGCCCAGGAGCTGCACGGTCCTTGGAGAAGTCGCACGACGAGGTCAGACGGCCACGTCCACGCGGCAGACGGACGACGTGCCTCGTCCGAAAAAACGGGTGGGTGGGACACAACCCACATCTGTCAGGTGAGTGAGTCAAAAGTCTAGGAAAAAAAAGGGTAGGTTGAAGACTGCTGTGACCCGGCGAAAAAGGCGAGGTCGGAAAAGGGACCATTCCGCGGATGTATGCGGGATGTTGGACAGAAGTCCAGTTTGCATGAGAAGTCCTGTGCTGAGCAAGCCGTATGTCCAGCTGGTGTGTGATCCGGAATTCAAACTGAAGTTGGGACAAACTACCATGAACCTGTCTTCAATTGTGGGAAGGAATACTGGTGGTAGAAAGGTTGATATTTGCTAAGTGAGCCAGAAGTTCTGGCCTGGGATTGATGGAGATGATATTAATCGCAGTTTCATTGGGGGACAATCGGGAACAATAACAAATTCTAATGAAAGCTGGAGTGCAAGGTATAAAACGAAACCGCAAGCTTCCCACTTCCTGGATGCATCCAACCTCCATGTCCGACAAAAATAACAGCAAAGCTCACTGGGTTGGATATGGACAACGAATTACAACAAGACCAACTATGTAATAACTGCTTGTCCTAATTACAACTAGATCAACTATGCGACCTCACCGCCGTTCCTCCCTGGGTGCTCGCACACACGCAAGGCCCGCCTTGGAAGCCTTGGCACCACCACTTCTAGTAGATACCACTAATATTACCGGCTACTGAGCGGCTACTGTTGCTGCCAGGCCTCCTACCTTTCCTCAGTATATGATCCTTCGACCGTTCCTTTCACTTGACGAAAAAAGCGCCATGCAAACGCTCTCCGTTTGCCCACTCTTCAAGCCGCCCGACTCTTGAAGCTCCATTTTCATGGCCCACGAGCCGTACACAGGGGGGGAGAAAAGCAGAGGTTGGCTACCCTGCGGCAGTTCCGTGAATTCGGCCAACTGAGATGGTTGGGAAAGTGCGGCTAATTCTACTAAAGTCTGTCAGTTTCCACATTGTTATCTTTAGTGGATGCTGAAACCGCCACAGATTGGAGGGAAGGTGCGTAAATCCAGGTCGTACTCTTCGATCACACTCCTCAGCTCGCAACACCTATGCCCAAGTGGAGATACAGTAATGCTTTTGGTGTGTTCAGCTCGGTGCCAATCCTTGGTGGATGTAAGTTAGTTAGCAGGATCCCTTTCCTGGCAAGGTGGAGATGTAGTTGCGCCAATCCTGGTTGCTAGGACCGCGTTTGGGGCTTCATCTTGTCCATGTTGCTTGGTTTTTCCATCTCTTCAATGAGCCAGACAGAACAGCTGGGCCGGCCAGCTTGATCCGGAGAGAATTCGAGGCCTGGTGTGGTCATTCAGATCAAACGTCGACTTCGTGGATTCGTGTCACGTGCCACGTGTTCTCCACTGATCGTCAGCCCGAGTGATGGTTATCCTCTGTTCTGGTTGTTCCGCTGATTCTACTCCTCACAAGCCACCAAATGTTCATAGCTCCTGCTCTTGGACTAGGACGTATGCTTCCACCTACCCAGTGACTCTTCAGGGCCTCCCTTGTTTCTTGATGTGCTGGACTTGATCCATAAGGCCTTGCTTATCTTTGTTCCCCATACGCCTCATCTCCCCCACGACCCACCCACCTCGACCGGAAGACCGAGGTGCTGGTCTCCACAGCGGACCTGGGTGAAGAAAGCAGGGCGTTCCGGGACGGACCTGGCGTTCCTTCGGTGGAATCTAGATTCGCTTCCTCACACATCGCAACCCAAACCAACCACTCACCTCGCAGGCAGCGCGTGGCATGGTCCCAGAAGTGAAGTCATCTAAGGTCCGGATGGTCAACACGGGCCACTGGAGGTGGACCTCCGGTTCATCGGAGCCCGTGGGGTGGACCCCGGCCGCTGGCCCAGCCCGCTGGGCCGCCCGCATGGCGAAGGCTTGGCACGGCACCTCTGCGCTCCGTAGAGCGGAAGAGGCAACCAAGGCAACCAGGACAACCAGGGCAACCAGCTCCCCTGGGGCCCTGGGATTCCCAGAAAGGGTTTCCCAAAAAGCTCGAGCCCTGAAGCTGTGATCATGAAGCTAGGATGCAACTAGCAACCCCACGTTTCATCCCCAGAATCCTGCACGAATCCCAAGAAGATAGCTTCATGACTCATGACTTCTGAAGCAAACTAGAGTTCCACAAAAGCATGTGGGATTATGTAAGCTATTGCTCAAAATCAAAGGGGCATCCAAACCCAGTTTCAACAGAGAATTCACCGGTGGCACCACGTCCAAACCGTTGGATGGTCGTCCTTCGCCGAGGCACCGCCACTCCGGGCGCCGTCGAGGCGACGCGCAGCCCGGGCGGCAGCGTGCTGCGCGTGACCAGCTGGGGCGACCTGATGGGGTGCATCCCAATGGGGTGCAGCCTCTTTTGCCAAGCACAGGTGGGACAGGTGGGTGTGGAGATGGAGACAAGTGGATCGACCATATGTTCGACTGCATTAGATAGACCACCACTGGGCAAGGTAATCAGTTGCGATCAAAACAGCAAAGTTTGGAGCAGGGTTTCACAGGGTCAGAGAGTTCCAGAGTTTCAGGTTAAACATGGCGATTGGGGGGGCCTGATTCTCGGAAAGGTAAGAACCCTCCCAGCTGACCATCTTGGGCATAACAACCACAGGTACCCATGGCGTTTGGATTGGGAACTTCCAAACCTCGACGGATTCCATAGGATGACTCTTCTAAGACTACGGCATCAAAGCTCGAAGATAGGGATCCACCGAAATTGGAAGAAAAAACACTGAGAACCACCAGCTGGACGGAACTCTCCACCTGTTGTTGACTCAGAGGATCTCAATGGCAGGTGTCCAGTCGTTTTACGACCAACAAAGAAACACATGACCATGCCAGCCCCGTGACCCGTTCCACAACCGCAACCACCGTGCAGGAGCGGCAGAGAGACACGGACATTAAACAACAGTTCCTTCAGGCGCAGAATGGGGCCACGCAGTTCCGAAGCGGTCACATCTCTAAAGAACACGGTCGCATGGTCCGGTCATCCTCTTCGGTCACGTCCCTTCTCAAACCAAAACTAATGGCCACGAGCGTCAATCATCCAGAGGCACGGTGACACTCGCAGCACTCGCCATGGTGAAAAAGGAGCAACAAAAGCTCTTAGTACTCAGGCGTCGACGCCGCCAGCAGCCTTGGCGTTTGAAAGTGAGGTCTGAACACCCAAAAACAAACAAATGAGCCGGGGAACCCAAAAGTAAAAAAATAACACTTCAGGCTACCATAAGCACCCCCTGTCTCTTTTACCTTGTCACTCAATAACAACTGTTCAGTCAAATCCTGCTAGCATGTGGTCTTTTTGACACCCCTCCCTTTTAGAATGGTGGGTGTCAAACAGAGGCCCCACACTGCAACACACAACACTCAAGTCGCATTTCCCTTCTGAGGGCTTTGTGTTGTTTGCCTCCTTCTGCAAGAAAATGACCGCACCCCCTCTGAATTGTTTCTCCTTCCACAACTTCCATCCCCCCGTCCGCAACCCATCATCGCTCCCTTGGCCGTTAGCAGACTGTATAAACGAGAAGCCAAGCATCTCCTTGATGCGTTTGGGAAAATAAAGACGGCTGCCCCTAAGTTGTGATCACACCTAGAAAAAGAAAAACATCAGCTGCGAGAACACACCCAAAAACATATTCCGGGCAAACCCAAAAAGCTTTTCCGTCCTCGCGGCTTCACCTTCAGTGTCCCACTGGCGGTTCCACTCGGGGTTCCCGACGCAGCTTGCGGGCTCAAGCTAGGAGTGGCCTGCTCGGGGTGAGGACCATGAAACGAAGGTGCTCACACGGGGCCTTAGGGGAATATACCGGATGATTTTGCATACCTTCGAAGAGCGCTTCACAGCCCCGTTCCTCCCAGGCAAAATGGCATTAATCTGCACCCAAGGGATTGTCCTTCAAAAGCGAGGATTGCACCCACACCAAACGCCTTGAAAAGACGCTCAGAACCTCCACGGTCAAGTGGCGTCCAAAACACCAGGCGGTCAACTCGGCCAACTCGGCCGCCTGGAGGGGCCCCGGCTGCGCCACCAGGTTTGGCCGGCAGACCTGCCGATGAACGTGGACGGTGGAGCTGGTGCGGGTCGCGTGGCCGGTGTGGCGGGTGCTAGGGGCCTGGAGGGGCAAGCTTGATGCGTGTGGCGTTCATGGAAGTCTCCAGGAGGGGTGATCTCTGCCAGCATGTGAAGCTAAATTAGCTAAATGGATGTTCCGAACTACCAGAGCCTCGAGAGTTCTTGCTTGGCAGATGGAACCGTTCCCCTAACCCTTGAGACACCCGGAAACCCGGTAGAAAGCCAAAACGCCATCGGATTCCATCGGCCCCTTTTGAGCTCCACGACAGCCCCCCTTAGAGACCCCCGAACGGGCTCACCTCATAGGACCTCTGAGCATAACGGCCTGGCTGCGGATCAGTGGCGAATCAACCAAGTCACAGATCAGCCATCTTTTTGTGGTGGTCAGTTTCAGCTCCAACCTGGGATGAATCGCTTCCGGTGAGGGCCACCTTCCGCGGAACACACAACACTTCCAGAACCCGCGCAGCAGGCGCCTCGCCAGTTTCCGAAGCCTCGCAACATTCTGGTGACGATTCACCACTTGTGAGGACCTGGTTTTTGAGGAAGGGGAAACAACTGTTTAAAATCCGGGCTCTTTGTGACAAGTTATGTGACTGTTTACCCTTCCCACATCGCTGGGGTGTCAGAAATGAAGGACGATAAGGTTGCGCTGAACATGCATCACAATTTGGGCTCCAGGGTCCTCAAGGAGCTTCTATGGTAGCTGTTGGAAGGGCCCCTTCACCAGACATTGTCGTGCCCCTGCGGCCTCCAAATCTGCCAACAGCGTGGTTTGACCAACCATGGGCCCTCAAAGCAGTCTTGCTCCGTTCGCAGCGATGCCAGCAGCCCCAAGTAGCTTCTTGTTCCTAGATGCCAGGAGCTCTTCAATCCTCAGAGTGTCACGGTGTCATATGGTGTCATGTCTTCTCCCACGTTCATTCCAGAGTGGTCGGCTGCCTGGCGGTGGAGTCAAGGCATTGCGGGCATGCTCGTCCACCTGGGCTTGGGCAGTGACATGGGACCTCGTGGTCCCACTCGACTCCTTGAAACACCAAAAAGGAGTCCCACAACCCGAGTCATACACCAAAAGCTCTCTCTTTATGTTCTTCGATTCTTTCTTAACTCCTCTCCGATCTGAACCCGGAAAAAAACCCGGAATCCACCACCTCTGTGAACCATCCATCGCCCCCTCTTCCGACCGACCGATTCCGCCGAAGCCTCGCTCCGGAAAGCCCGAGTCCCGAGTCCCATTCGCCTGCGGGGCTCGAAGCCTCAAACTTGCAGCGTCCGATGCCGTCCACCCATGGAGGTCGGTGGATGTTTGGAGGAGGGGGACACCCATGGAGCGGATCCCGAAGAACCAAGGAGTCTGTCAAGATTGGAGCACCAGTCGTGTGATTGGCACCCTTTTGTGATTGGCTGGTGTTTCACAGGTCCTGTGACACCGCGGAAGGGTGTGCTGTCTGTGTTGCATGCAGTTTGGGTGCATCGTAAGGTCTCTAGCTTCCTACATTGGCCATGAGCAGTGGCAAATCCTTTGTGATGACGAGTAGTTCGGAAAATACGTCCAAAATCGTGAAATCTCCACGGAACCCAAGAGTTTTGCAGGCTTCTGTGAAGAAAAACAGTGTTCAAACGAAGTCCGTGATGAGTCACTGTCACCAGATGTTTGATGCACGCGGATTTTACGACCCTTGGCTCGACCTGTTCCTCCACATCTCAGATCTCAGATGACAAAAGTATGCAAAGCTGTACAGGACGTGCCATCCATTCTGTTCAATGGCCCGTCCTGTAACGCTCTCTCAACGAAAAGGGAAAAGTGGCAATGAACGGGTCCAGTCATTCATCGGCCCCCTAAGAGACAACGGCCAGGTGATTGAACCGAAACATGGTGATTGAACCGCTGGGTCACACGGATTGCTTTCCTGCTGGTGTGCTTGTCATTGTGGCTTATCAAACAACCACTGTAAAGTCCTGCAAAAATTTGAAATGGTTTTGCCAGCGCACAGTCCGTGTGACATAGGCGTAACTGAGATGCAGCTTAGGCCGTTTCGGTCGCTGCTCCCAGAACACAGGACAGATACAGCTTCGGCCGCGACACAGTGACAGCACTCATACCTCGTGGTGCCACTGCTCGGTGCCTTGTACACCTCAAAAACAGCAAGGACTCCAAACCGTCGGAGCTCAAATAGTGGTCCTGATTCGGAGGATATCCTGTTGTCAAAAATCTCAGGGCGGTGTCAGATGTCAGCTCACAGAGCAAACACAACCTTCTCCGTACCGACAGAGCGAAGAAAGGACGCGTTGTTCAACTGGCCCACAATCACTCTGCGCACCTTGGACTTTTGGAGGGGACATGCACACAAAACACTGCAAAACAAATGTCTGTCCACCAACAACTTGTTTGGGGTATTGTTGTTGTTGGAAGAGCTTGAGCTTTCAGCGGGCAATTGAACCCTCTGGTGTTCTTCTTGTTCTGATGTTTGTTACCCAGTTCTATCCTTAAAGAGCCTCCGCCTCCGCCACACCGTGTGGAACATAAGCAGCTAGGGCACATAGGGATGTTTGCGGGCGTCTTCCTGCAGGGCTGCATGAAGATCCTCGGGACCTTTTGAAACCAGCAGCTCCAACACTTCATTCTTGATCCGTTGGCGCCTGGTCTTTTTAGGTCTCACACCATCAGGGTCGTGTTGATGAGGCAAATGGCAAAAACCGCACTGAGAGCCCTTGGCACAGCCACGAACCGATTGGTGGAAGACCTGAGCCGACGACGCGCCAGCTAGACACCATACGACGACACAAAATTGACCAAACAAGGAAGAAAAGAACTCCCGCCAAGAAACACAAGGATCGCACAAGCCCATCACATGAGCGAGGTGGAGTCTGTGTCCTCCCGGCCCTGAACCCTCACCACCAATTGAAGCCATCAGATCAGAAAGGCCGGCACCTCTGGCACTTCTGGCCCAAAACACCCCTCGCAAATGCTCCGTATCTACGGTCAGGCGTGTCCTCCCTGTTGAGCCCCAAATCTCATGTGCATCAGAGTTGGGCAGGTCCAGGCTAGTGGCCACAGGCTCAGGCCCACGTGACGGGATTCATTTCAGTGACTTCCTCGATTCTTCTCCACCAACAAGGGTCCTGACTTGGTGGAATGACGTTGGTCGCACGCGGGCAGGAAGCGCTCACGTTCATCCCAGCGCTGCGTCACACACAGAAGGGTTTGTTATAGTCCTTTGGACCGCACTATGCAAAGAAAGGATGTTTTTTCTGTTGTTACAAATGCTGACTGGTGCTTAGTAGGGAATGAGGGAATGGATCCAAAGGAATCTCTATTGGGGGCTCATTCCCTCATTCTCTACTAAGCACCAGTCAGAATGACTCCCCCGTGCTTCTTGGAGCATCGTCACTCCATCGAGCTCCCTCCGGGCAGCAAAAATCCGATCGGGGCGCCCCGCCAGCGTACAGGGGACGTCTCCTGGAATTGATGCCAGCCATCAAAGAAGCACGGAAACAAGGTTTCGGCAACTCTCATCTGGAACAAGCTTTCTGGAACTCCTCAAAAGTGCTCTCTCAACCTAGCACTTCAGCGAGGTGTCATTTTGGCACGGCCTCCCGACGGAGGAAACCAGGGCAGCCAGGAGAAGGTGAACGAGCTACCTGCCAGGTGCTCAATTGGAAGGTTCCAAACAAAGGGAAAAGATCCCAAATCAGACTTTCCAGCCAACTGAGTTATAAGCCGCAACATATCAACATCATGGGTGGAATGGGGTTTTCATCAGTCTTCAGGAAGCTTGAACAACTTCAGCACGGAGTTAGTTTGAACATGTTGGAACAAGTATATAAGTCGTACAGTTTTAAAACATGCCATAATTGAACAGGGGTCGCCTTTTCGCGCTTCTCCTCTGGTCTCTCGCAGGTCTCAGACTTGGGTGGGTGGGTCCCAATCAGCATTGCAAAACATCTAAAACAAGAACAACATCGACATGGGTGTGCATGGAGGCCATCCCTAGTAGGTTGGAGGCTATCGCTAGTACAAGTAGGTTGGTTGGAGGCCATCGCTGGAAGGTTCAACTATACCAAACTGCTTGGCTTTGGTCTACCTGCTCATCTTCTCGAAGGGGGTCGAGCTGGCAGGTTCTCCTGTTCTAATGCACACAACATTGGAAGGACCAACCCAACCGGCGTGCGTCTTGGACGGCCCTTCTATACAAACGGCCCGCCTGGAAAACTGACCAGTCAGATTGGTCGCGGAGACCCCAAGGCAAGCACTCAGTGACTGCCGACTCTGGAAAAACTTGGGCAACGGATCACCCAAGCTCTTGGGTGCTCAGCGCAGCCCCTACGAACGATCTATGCACTTCGGGGTGGGCACCTTGTCCTCCCTAGATTCTCCAGTTAGCTCCGCTTGGTCTCGGATTTCTTGGGGATTTGGGTTCTCTCAAGGCCTCGCAACAAGCAACAAGCCAAGCCCAGAGGAGGTTGGGGCGGCCACCCGGACGGACTTCATCCCGTCACGGGAGTGAACTTCAGGTGCTTCATCTCATCCCTGAGTCGGGGCGCCGAGACAAGGAAACCCTCCCCAGCTGAAGAAGGCAGGCCTGGGAGTTCCGCCTGCAGCGCCTGAAGAGTTCCGTCTCATGTGTTCCGCCTCTTTCTGGGTGCTGGAAAAGCCCCCGGGGGGGTTTTCCCGGAAACAGCAGCTCCCACCCGGGACGCCCAAAGCACCACCACCGCTGGGTTTGGCCGGGTGCCCTTGCCAACTGCGCTGCGGCTGGGTCGCTCGTCGAGCCCAACTCACACAACGAGCGTTCTGCCGCTGAGCAGCGTCTTAAGGACTGAAGCTTTGGCACTGTCATCCGGCATGTCATCGACCCACATCACAATCCTTAGGCGTTCGGTCATCAGAACGATCACCAGCTGCATTTTTGCAAACAAGTCGGAAACCGCGTCAGCAAGCTGTAGCAGCAAGTGAAGAATGACCAAGCGCCAAACAAGGTCCACGAACATCCGAAACCTGACCCCACCAAAAACGGGTTCCATTGAAGGACGAGCAGAGGAACCAACTGCCACTTTTGGAGGAACCAACTGCCGCCGAGACTCCAATCGCCCTGCCCGATGTATTTCATCACCTGCAGGCGATGATGACACTCAGGCTTTGGGACAAGGCCAGCAGTTGCAATTGTGGAGAATCACTGCAAAGCTGTGCCCCACTTCACTATACTTCCTTCTTTCTCAAACATACTTCAAACATACTCCGGAGCACTCCACATGCTTCGCTCACTCCACATGCCTCCACTCACCCCCATTCACCCGCCTGGGCGCAGTACCAGTCCTCTGTGCCTGGATACTTCCCCTCGACCAGGTCATCCTTGTCGAAGCTTCCGGCCTCGCCACTGGCAAACTCGCCCCACCTCAGCTGCTTTCCACGTCGAAGTAGCAGCAGCGTCGGAGAAGTAGCAGCGACGCCGCTGATGGGGTGATGGACGGCTCAAAACGACAGGCTGGGGGTTGTACATGAGATCATCGAACCAAGGTTCCGCCCACCTACTACTCGAGCTTGGTGACTTTGTATTGTGGTTTGCTCTATGGAACTGCACCATGATGAAGCCCTGCGTGGCATGATCAGTGGTCACTTCCAATCTTTGCCCACTTGGAACCACGCAGTTGCACCGTGTTGAAATTGAACCGTTTTGAAAACTGATGCAAACTGCCGGCGTTCCATAGTGCAACTGTTGATATGTCTGACAATGAAAAATCATATCCCAGCCATAAACCTTCTTCTTTTTATCTTTCAGCACGACGCTGACCCCACAAACGATTGAACAAAGGAATACCAGCATGACTCTCATGGCTACCCAGCCCAAAACCATCTATTTAAGAACCATCTATTTAAGAACCCTGTTTTTTGGTGCATCTCTTGTGGCCATCCCCCCCAAACCGGACCTTAGAGCCGCTTCCACATACCGCCCGCAGCCGCGTTCGCTGACACTCCCAGGAGCTGCTCCTCGGTGGAGCGGCCCCAAAAGGCACCACCCTTCGCCGTGCCGCGATCCTCCTGCAGAGGGGGGGGCCCACCAAGCTTCGTGGTTTCAAGAAACGGCACAGGTCCAAACCGCCCCCCGAAACGGTTGAAACGGCGCACGAATCTCGGTGTCCCAACTCCAAAAACCCAAACGGGTCTGAGATCTGCCAAGGTCTTTTTGGGGCTCAAAACTCCAAGAGCGACATGGTCCCGACTGCAGTGGTGAAGATCTAGGCTGTTTGCACTGTAGGGGCAAGAGTTCTGGAGCTGTAGCTCTCATCATGCTTAGATGGATCCAAGTGTTTGTGAGCAAATCTCGAACCCAAAGGTGGACAGCTTCTTCTCTTTTGGGGTGGGTGGGCCTCAACGGGCCGGATGGATCTATGGATCCAGCAGCGCAAAGCATCCCTTAGACGTGCGGCGAATGCCCGGCCGGAAAGCCTCATCAACAAACCTCAGTCGAAATTCCTCTAATGCCTTGAATCCAAGACAATGAGAACGTCTATGAAGGGCTTCGGAGGTGAACAGGGATTGAAGCTGCCTACCAAGGCCTTCTTCCTTGGGGCATGACTGATTGAAGGATCGTACAATGCACCTGCGGCACCTGCGCGAAAGAATGACTTCTGCAAGGGTCTGAGACTCTCTCGGGATCCCAGTCCGGATAGTACATGCGGGGCCCATTGCTTTCCTGAGCGACAGGGAATCTGGAGGGAGAAAGACAGCCATAGCATTTGGCGGTCCTCAAATAGAGAGGAAGACAAATTTTATCGACAATGATAACGCAACAGGCAACCTCCTGAAGATCCTCAAAGTGAGAAAGCTTGCAGCTCTGTCCATCACATCTAGCACCTCCCAAACCGCTTTGTCTGATTGGTCCTTCGTTCTGGTTTGCGCCCTGCCTGCGCTCTGCACGCAACTCGGACATTTCGTGGAGATGGCCATAATGGCCTGGCCGTTGGGTGCGCTCCACTTCTTCGGTGGGCACCAAGGCACACGCTCGCTTGGTCGAGTCCAGGATGGTACGGGAACTTCGGGGTGGCTAAGATCGGGGTCCAAGGTCCGAGAATTTTTGTTCAAGAGGCAGGAGGCGAAGATCACTAGGCCTCTGAGGATGCATCTCTTTTGAGGATTCTTCCCCCGATCTCTTCTTCAGATCGTCAGCCTTTTTCCGGCGCCAGACTCTACTCAAGGCTGCTAACAGTGGTGCTAGTGATCCCAGCCCAGCCCCGCTTCTTTCTGAAAAAAAAAAACATCCAAGCGGAAACGAATCTCAAACAAAAAAACAAAGCTGAGACTTCCCACGGCTCGTTCCAATCGAACCCCGAGAGTATCAAGAATTCGCAGCGATCTTCGAAGAACTCGGATGCCTCAGCAAAAAACTGCCAGATGTGGTGAAGCCTCCTGTCAAGCGCCGATGGGGTTTACCCCTATAAACTCTTATCCAAGAGTTTGAAGAGTTGTTGAGTTCAACAAAAAAGAGACTGAGATGAAGAAGAAGGAGGATAAACTCCTTTTCTGGGGGAGGGACTCAAAACCTTCCAAAGTCACTCCTGCTACACTCAGCAGGAGGAGAATCTGCCAGCACCCTGGCGAGCGCAGGAAGCTATGGGCACTGGAAATCCCTTGGCTCACCAAGTTTTCGCGAAAGACAGTTCCTGGTGCTATTTCTCAGCAGGTTGTTTTGCGAAATGAAAATGGGTCCTAGAGTCCTAGCTAGTTCTGGAAGCCTCTTTCAGGAGCCGCAGGCGTCACAACTCATGGGACGAAGCCGACCAACAAAGAAGCTACAGGTGTGTTTTCCCATCACCCTCGCCTCTGGGCACTCTCTCAGCGCGGAGGCTGGCGCGCGTCATTGCTGCGGCGTTTCTTCCGGGATGGAAGGATGTGGAGGCTCTCAATGCTGTGCTGTTTCGATTCAAGGTCTTCACAAAAAAGAAAAACCATCAGTGGGATGCATTCAAACTGGTTGAAGCTGCTGAGCAAGTAAAAGACTTGATCCAGCCGTCAAAGAGCTTTTCATCTCGTCTACTTGAAACTCCCTGCCCTGGTTGCTGTCTCGGGTGCAACTCCGAGAATTGGCGAAGCAAGTCCCTCAAATGCTGCTCAAATGCTGAAGATGGTTGTTGGGTTCAAGTGTTGTTGGCATGTCTCAAACGCATCTCCTCAGGAAAACATCCATGGAACTGCTGATTGGGTCGCTTCAGCCGAGCTTGCTATGCTGCTGTACTTTGAGCTGCAAGGCTGTCGAGATCAAGCCACGAATCATACATCATATACATATACCCTAGTTGCCTTGTCACAAGATGTTTCAGGTGGGGTTGGAGGCTCCAAATACCTTCTCAGGAAGTACTGGAAACGCTGGGATTACTGTATCGTTGTTTTGCTTAAGACTGTAGTGAACTGCTCAGTAGATGGAAGGGATTCATCCAAACCTGATCTGAAATGGTCCTTTGGCAGCTCTCCACCACTTGAACATACCGGACATGGACCGATGTCGCGCCACCGCGACATCGGGCGCCTCTGGCCGGCCCAGCACCGCCTCGGTCGGCCGATGGCCGGGTGAGATCTTTTGCAACAGTTTCTCACTTCCAGGGTGGGTTGGAAACAGTTTCACCTGTGGCTGGGTTCTTCATGTGATTGGCTTGCAGTTACGCGCCGCTCTGAGCAAGGAAAGGTACTCCTGAGCCCACAATCTTGGCTCCCCAGACCCTTTAATTGTTTTGAAGTGGTTTCAAGTTGATCAAATGTTGCTCTCACTGCTGTAGCAAACATGCTGGCACTGAGGATGCAATGTAAGGTCGGCCTTTCGTTGGCTCTGTTAAATCGAGGTTGAAGTGCGAGAGGAAGCAATTTAATGGTAAGAGTTATATATACATATGAATTGATAGCAAGCAAACGGACCAAACGCTTTACCCATTAGGCGACTGGCCGTGTGCATGAGCAATAGAAACAACAGCAGGAAGGCGCAAAAGAATCCCCCCAATCCTACTACATCTCCAAATGGTTGTTGTGTAATCTCAATATGAATAGGGAAACCCCCTACACACCCCAATCCTTCCAAACAAAAAAAATCAAAAAGTCGAACCGGAGAAACCCAACCACCCTATCTTCTCACATCTCTGACACCGAAGCGTCCCCACCGCCACGGGAGGCGGGCGGAAGCTGGCGGCCGCCTCGATCCACATACGACAGGAAGGGCATACGTCATGAGGTCGTGGTCTGGAACTGTTGAACGGACGATGATGATGATGATGATGATGATGATCATGATGATGATGATGATGATTGGAAAGTAAAAGAACTTGATGATGATTGGAGGTTTGTTGCACTGTCTAACCAACCAAAACAAATTGGTCATGTCTTCAAAGCACCCAAAAAAATATGACCACTCCAAACAAACACGAGGCTGGACCCTGAACCACACATCCTTGCGTCTTGATGTGGTGGGGGGGTTCATCGATTCAGATCTGGAAGGTTTCGGCCCTTTCGTGCCTGCAAGCTGGGTCCTGTCTGAGCGCTGGTGGGGCGTGCCGAAGGCGGGGCCCAGTGTCGAGCCTCGGGCACGGTGACCCGGAGGATTTTTAGGAAAGAATGTCGTGTCGGTGAATGTTCTTGGGGTTTTGTAAGCCAAGTGAAATAGATCAGAATGTCCTATGCATTTTCTCACATGTTCTTTTTGTGCCTCCTGCAAAGCTAGGAATATCTCTCATCACGCGTTCACGATGGTTTGTGGGCAGAAAACACATTTGAAAAAGAGCCCAGAAAGCACACCCAACTGGGAGGTGATTGATGCCACATTCAGCACCCTTCGCTCGGGCATGGACAATTGGCGGGGTGTGGCTGCGCGCCTGAGTCTTCTAAGGCTCGACTCAGAGACTCAAAATGACTCGAAACCAAACGAACTTGGCATCTGGCCATCCAAACACGGCCCGCCGCAAGGCGGCAAGGCGGCCCAGAAACTGCAAACAATGAAGCACTGCAATTTCACTGCTTTGAATGCATTGAACTCATGGTTGCCACATCTTTGAATGATGTTCAAACGGTCATGTGGCGGCGGCTTCTATGGCCAGCATTCTGCAAACATACCGAACACACATGCTGATATTTCAGGTCAGTGTTGGTGCAAATGTGCCATCCCTGCACTATTATAGATTGTTAATTGAGCCTGCATGCGGCTGCATCCGTCAATAATACATTAACCGGATTGCCCAGAGCTCTAACTTGTTGACCGTTGGAACCAACAACAAGCTGTGGATGTCAAACGTTGCATTCAAAACTTGATCCCGGGTCACCTTCATATGTTTCATCACGCAATCAAATCTTAGGGGTTGTCAAAATGCCATAGAACACCACCACTGGCTGATTTGGTTTTCCACCATTCACTCAAAAAAAGTCCCTCAGGCAACCAGTTTTTGTTTACGCCGTCCTTTGTTGACAACCACCGATTGCACAAGCCATGACAACTCCAAACAAAAATAATGACTCCCCATGCTTCCAAAAATTCAAGTTTCCTCATCACACGCATCGTTCACGCAACATGGAACGTGAAAAACTGTCAGCGCCACAGCCGCACCAAGATTAACAAAGATGAACTGCCTTTTGCCTTGAATCTTGTGCTCCTCATGTTGTTTGTCAGAAAAAACTCGAATCAACTGAACGCTGCACATGCAGCAACGGTCTTTCCAGCGGCCAAGCAATGAGCAGCAAAGGCTTCTGCGCGCACAGCTGCAAGTCCTTTTTACAATGGCCTTTTTTTTGGCACTGGTGTGGACAACATCAACAGGTCTCGTGAAACATTCGCACAAGAAACTCACGAACAAGAAAACCTTCCTCGCAAGTTCTCAACGTGAAAAACTGTCTCTGCAAGTCAAGCGCGCACCACGACTGAACGGGCAAAAATGAAACAAGTGAAAGACGCCACTGCAACAAGGTTGCACAACTCCCAAGCACTTAAAATTGCAAGCAAAAAAATGAATTTGAGACCTTGCCACTTCTGTGCATGAACTGGCTTCACAAAACCCAGATTCAAAGGGAAAGTTCAAGGTGTCTGACCCCCCTGGAAGTAGGTCACAATAAATGGCACTTCCAGAGTGACGTCTATAGATGCCCAAAAAGCCGTGCTGGTCCCCTGATGTCTCTGGGGCCATTCCAGACGTTAGTATGCTCCAGTGACAGACTTCCAGGCGAGCACCTCGGTCCTCCTGCCAGCTGTGCACAAAGTGCACAGACAGCCCCTCATGTCCCAGAAGAATTGCACAAGCTGACCTGTGCACCTTCTGCATGAATGGCGGCTACCCGTGCCAAAAAAAACCGATTGACACGTTGACTTTCCAATCGATGATTGTCCACTTCCAGAGGTCTTGTGCATCCTGATGGTGCAGGACCTGTCCATGTGAGTGATGTGCCTTCTACTGAGAAGGCACTGTGTCCCAAAGGTGCCCCCCCAATGTGGTTTCTGAAGTTCAAGAAGTACACTCCAGGTTTTTTTTGCACGAGTGGAGACGCCATGTGTGCATGGTGCACAGGTCATCTTGTAGTAAGGTATGAATCTCCAAAATTTCATAGAGGAGCAAAACAAAAACAACCGAACCAACAAACACCGCACCAAAACAACAACAAACCCACAAACCAAAACAAATTAAAAGCGAGACCATCGGAGGTTCATTCTGTACATCTGAAGTGAAACATGGTGAAAAAGGACTATGACCACTTTCTACTAGGGCTGTGAATTCGCTTGTGAGCTGCACTCGATGTCAACAGGCCCGTGCACGAGCACTTGCGAGCGAAAGTGCTTGGGTGCTGGATCTCTGCTCACAAGCGGTGAGCAAGGTCTTAGTTATTCCAAGGGAGTCCGCAAGTCGAGAGCTCAGTTGACGAAAGACAATGATGATCTGGCCGTGTTCTTTTTTTTGCACAGGTGGAGACCCGATGGGTGCAGAGGTTGCACAGGTCATCTTGTGCTAGTGAAGAGAGAGTTACTAGCCAGGTTGCAGGGACAAAGGAAAAAACAACAAAACCCAAAACCAAACAACAAAACAACCCCACCCCAGACCAACACCAGCAACCTGGCATGTAGATCGAGCGGTCATGTAGACCAAAGAGTAAGAGGTGAAACAGGGGCTACGAATTAAACACCGGCTCTCAGTTCTGCTGGACCGCGAGGTTTTGCTTTTCTCCATTCCTCATTTTTGGTCTCTCTTCATTCCAAGTTCTTCCTTCAATGCAGCAAAGCGTCCTGAGATCAGAACGCTGTGCAAACTATTGCACTTGGAGAGCATCGAAAGCAACGCTTACACGATTGTGCAGTCAAACGTGCAAGCCTATTTCATGCAATGCGAAGTAGAAGCTTTTCTCTGCAACATTGAACAGGCACCTGGGAAAACCACCGCGAATGTTCCCGATAGCTCCAAGCTTTCGGTAACCGGATTCGACAGTGCAGCCAGTGATTGATAGGAGTTTCTTGGGAAGGCGATCGCATGCTG